GGGCTATGACGGCGCCTGTGTGCCTCGTGCAACACAGAGGCTTTCAAAGCTTGAGTTTTCTAAAGTAAATAACGACGTTCTTCCACGAAACCTCGAGGTGCACTCAGATCTTCAATGTTGAGTTTGCAGCTGGGTACTTTTATTTAATCTCCCTGTTCTAAAGGTCCAGGAGAAGGACAGGGCTACCTTGCTCACAAACACCTATAGCCTCAGGATGGTCTCCAGGAATCTGAATTCCCCCGTGGCAGTGAGCTTCTAAACGTTCGTTTTGCTAAACCCTACCAAGCCGCCAAACTCACTGCCATCAAGTGGACGCAGACTCAGAGCAGCCCCATAAGACAGGCCAGAGCTGCCCCCGTGAGTTCTCGAGATTCTAATTTATGATGGAAGTAGAAAGCCCTGTATTTCTCCTGCGGAGGGGCTGGGGATTTCAAAGTACTGGCTTTGTAGTTACTAGTCCATCGCATAATCACTAGGCCACCGGGGCTTCCTGAAGGTATGCGAAACACTTTGGTGTTTCCTTTTGCCTCCTTTCTACTTCCTTGGGCCTTCAGTCAGCCCGCCAGCCACCTCCATTTGCATTTTCCCCTGTCATCTCCCACCAGGTTCAAGATGAAGATTTGCTTGAGCTTGGTCACCTGAAAGTCATTCTCCTTACTCCAGAGCAGGGTCATGTCTGTCATGTCTGGCCTCAAGTGCTATGGTGGACTGGCAGCTAGTTTCCCCTAAAGTCCGGTCCCCCCTTTTCTGTCATTTGCTTTGCTTCTCGGTTCCTGGGAGTTCAGGCTGTCTGCCTTGTAGAACACAGTTCAATTTTTGGCTCTCCAGTCATTTACTTCTTGGCATTAGAGTAATGATTATTCAAGTTGTGGTTAATTATATATTATACTAATTTTAGTGCAATGGGGAATCTGACTTACCTTCCATGACCTGATAGTTCCAACAATGACCATTGACTAAAACTGACATGTATTTTAAACTCCGCCACTTGTAAAAGGGAAATATAGAAGTTGTGAGGTGCCAAACCATGGGCTCTAACTTTGTAGTAGCGGGCCACTCCCTGAGCAACTAACCACAAAGTCAGTACTTCGAACTCACCCATCTCTCCAAGGGCAAAAGATGAGGTGCTTTGCTCCCGTAAATATTTACAGACTAAGAAATCCAAAGCAACAGTTCTACTCTGTCCTATTGGGTCATTGAGAATCAGAATAGAGTTCAAGGTGCTTTCCTTTTCTCTGTCTTTGAACTACATCCATTCATGAGGCTTGCCTTTGTATAGAGCCTTCTCAAATCTGCTTCTACCACTTCACCTGGACAGTTTCTTGGTTATTGACTTCTTCCCATCCAGGGTGCTTCTCGAACCAGCTGCACCTAAGCCATCTACTTCACCAAATGCAGATTCCCTGCCCAATAGAATAAAAATGGGAGCTGGGAACCTTCCTGTTGAATGGGCTCAATTTGATAAGTCATGATCTATGGAGTACGTTTGCAGTAGAACACATATTCCTGGTGAGTCATGCGCTTTGCACATCTAAGTACTCTAGCAAGAAACTTCTCCCATAAACCATCCTATATAAGCAATGAGGTGAGTGGTTTGCCGTGTATCTATCTATACATGCTTTAAAAAAACTATTCACCATTACACCAGCTCTTTGTTAGTAACACTAAGAATGCAAATTAAATAAATTCTTGGCCCCTCTCCTCAAAGAAGGAGCCCTGATGGTGTCATGGTCACTCATTGGGCTAACTGCAAGGCCAGCAGTTTGAAGTCACCAGCTGCTTGGAGTGAGAAAAAAATGGGTCTTTCTACTCCTGTAAACGGTTCAAACAAAAAATCAACTCCCTGACATTGAGCCAATGTCGACTCCTGGTGACCTTGAAGAGGACAGGGTGAATTTTGTGATTTTCTGAGACCATAACTTGTTGTGGAAGTAGAAATCCCTGTCTTTCTCCCACATGTCACTGGTAGTTTCAAACAACTGACCCTGAAGACATCAGCCTAACTCGTAACCATGGTACTACCAGGGACCCTGCTCGTCAGGGTTGTATAAGTTGGAATCAACTAAATGGCAGTGGGTTTGGTATTTGGGGCTTTCGGGTAGACATAATGCAAAAACTTTGGTCCAGTAGCCAGAAGGAATTGGATTTGAATCCTTTTTATATCACTTACTACTTGGGACATTTTACTTCTTTGAATTTTAGTTTCCAAATCTGGACAATGCAAATAACAGTGATAAAAATAATGTGCATGTAAATACATATCATATTGAGTTTTAAGAATTAAATGAGATAATGAGCATAACCACCCTCACCCACAGTAGATTATTATGAATGAGTGAACAATCTTATTTGTATAATGAAAATATTTTCAAGAGAATAAATCCATGGTGACTCAAAGATACGGTTCATTCTAGATAAACATAGCACCACTGTGATCTAGTAAGAAAAATATGTATGTTTTTTCCTGTGCACAGAAGACGTGGAATTGGATAACCCTGGCGCATCTGTCTTAGAGATGGGAGCTGGTTATTAACCTCCCCCAACGTACCTTTCAAAAGGGCCCCAACGTCTTCCATTTGCTTCAGTCTCTAGTGACTCTTGCAGGGGCTTTCAGCTCACGTCAGCTATTCGTGGTAAACGTGAATTCATTGGTCAGATCTTTTTCCCTCTGGAGAGAAAATTCTTGGGAAATAAGAGGTTCGCTTATTTCTAGGGAAGGTAGAACCATGTGGATGAAGTGGCATCCACAGAAGATGGAGCTGACCAGCACCTCAGACCACAGAGAGGACCTGCCAGCCTGGAAGTGGTGCGAAAGGGATGCAGAAGGAGGGAGAGGGCCGGAATGCAGGTGCTGACCCATACCATGGGCTCCTCCTTTGTGTGCCTCTGGCTGTGAGTGCCAGATTCCCTGCACACCGAGCCTTTTTTCCATGAGAGTCACCCAAATGCATCCTCATGTCTGGTGTCACCTCACATGATAAAATCTTCTAAGATATGAAAGGAAAGCTCAAATGGCCTCACCAGGTGGCCTTGGGAAATCTGAGAACAGAAAAGGCGGTGTGTGTGTGTGTGGTTTAAACAAAAGAAGGAAAAGAAAAGCCCAGCCAGAAATAACCAAAAATGCATGCCATGCACCCTCCAGGTAGGTACTGCAGCGGGTTGCAGCGACTTGGCACCTTTAGTGTCTTGTTTAGCCCCACTTACTATGCTTACCTACTCCTTCCCCGTGTGTTTTTGCCCTCTTAGTACCACCCTTAGTATTTACAATTACTCTTTCATCTGAGAAATTCAAGGTACAAAGTACCTTTCTGATTTGGGGGGCTTCCCCCCACCCTTTCTTTCTTTTTCTGTTTACTATTCTGATTTTGCTGATTTACTATATATGACTGACATGTCCTTATAAATGTAGATACTTTTCCTTCAGGGAAAAATGCATTTATGTTTCCATGAACAATAGTATGGCAAGTGCTTGTGAGAAGAATATTCCTTGCCAGGAACAGGAAGCAGATTTAGGTTGATGGAGGATGAGAAGCGAGGTCTAAGTAGGAACCTGAAGTGAAATGATGCTGGCCAGGAGACGTTAACGGAAAGGATCGAAGAGTGGCAAGGATTTTTGTTCAACTGTTTATACAGAGGGCTGGGTGATTAATGGTTGTGTGCTTGAGATTCAGTGAGTAATTAATTGACAAACTGAAAGATTAATCGAGAAAACAAGCCAAAGGTTCCCAAGCTCTGGGGCATGGTAAAGCCACCCTCCCAGTCACTGTGAGAATTAGCCCCACACCTGTGCAGCACACACCCACCATGAGGATGGCCCTGGTGGGTCATGTCCCTGCAGACTCTCTGATAAGGATCTAGTCAGGATCAGCACATCCCACCACCATAAGCCTGCAGATGGCTGAAAGGAGAGAGTTTACTTAAGAGTGGCTGATTTTCCTATTGAAAGGTGCCCACAGGGAGCCTAGGAAATCACAGAATGTCAGGGACCCCACCTGGCACAAACAGTGAAGTGCTCAGCTACTCATGGGAAGGTTGGAAGTTCAAATCCACCCAGAGTCTTTGCAGACAAATTTCTGGTGATCTACATTGGGAAAAAAACAGGCCTTGCTTTCTACTCGGACACAGTGGGGTCTCCATGAATCAGAATCTAGGTTACTCAGCGTCAGAGGCAGCGTAGACTCCCGAAAAACCAAACTCACTGCCAATGAGGCAATGTTGACTCGTAACTCCCTTTCCTGGTGAGAATGCTTCTCTGAGTCCAACTGCCCATCACACACAGCGAGGCTGCCCAGTGTATGTGTTATTTGAGAAGCTCCAGACAATTATTGGAGCCCTGGAAGCATGGTGGTTATGCTTTGGTCTGCAATCCCCAAGGTCCACGGTTCTAAACCACCACCCTGGGAGATTGATGGAACTTTCTACTCTCACAGACAGATACAGTCTCAGAAACTCAGGGGGCAGTTCTACCCTGTCCTGTACGTTGGCATAGGCTTAATGGCAGTGAGGCAATGATTGGTACCATTTCTTTTTCACACTTGCCAGCATTGGGTTTTCTACCAGTGAAATTGTTTACCTACTGAGCCGGTGTTTGTTCAAGACCAAAGAAGCCAGAAGTCAACTCCACAGTCTGATAAGCAGTTAAGGGCTCAGGTAATCAGGGGACAGCCACAGAGGTGTCTCATGACCGACCGGTACACTCAACCAATTTCATTATTTTGCCTTTTTGTGGACTTGTCTGGTCCGAATTCCTGTTAATATAAACAAGGGATGTAGGGGAAAGATGGTTTCACCTTTCAAAAGCTGTAGGAGCAAATGGTCTTTGATTGCTCATCCATATCCTTGGCCTTATCACTACATGTTAATTGTGACAGTAAAACAATAAAAAGGGGGATTTAATTTTAACTCACCTTGGTCAATCTCGGGCAGCGAGGGAAGGTGATGGGCTGGAGAAATATTAAACCAGGCTGGTTATTTAATAGCTGCCTTATTTTAAGGAAGACATGACCAGAGGCGCCTCGCTGGGCATGATGAACCTCCTCAGTTACCTTTTTGTTTATCGCCGGCTTCTTCTAGTAGTTTTCGCCCTGTTGATTTTCCTGCCCCTGCCCATTCAGCTTGGCACCAAGGTAAGTAACCTGGGGAAGAGGCTGGTGGCTTTCCTGATTCATTTCCATTATCCTTTATTGTTGTTCCATGGCCTGGCTACAGCTGAATGACCCCGGTCTTTAGTGTGGTGAGGTCAGGGTGACTGTGCATTGTGTTCTGCTCAATCGCCCTTCTCTTAATGGTTAATCTTGATGGATTGTCAGCATGACTAGCTAAAATAAATAACTAGTATATTCCATTGGGACTTTCTCTGCCTGTCAACTAGCTAAGAGGAAGAAGGACAGCAATCCAACCTTTAGTCTCCTGTTGTTGGGGTCATGGAATGCCAGGGAATTTCCTGGGTTCTCCATTTCCTTCCTCTGAGATGAGGCAGCAATAGGCTGCTAGGGCAAAGAGCTCAGGCAAAGACTGGGGGGTCCCTGGGGTCAAGCACCAGATTAACCAAGCTCTGTGGCTTCGTCTGGGTCTGAGCCTCCTGCAGGTTGTATTTTCTCCAGGAGTCCCTGGGTGGTGCTCCACTAATAGCTGACAGGCTGGCAGTTTAAAATCAGCTAGAGGTCTCTCCGAAGTCAGGCCTGGCAACCTGCTTCCCAAAGGTCACAACCTTGAAAGGCTGGTGCAGCAGTTCTCCTTCGCACACACAGGGTCAGAATAGTCCATGCAATGCATGCTTCTTCCTCTGATAAGATGATGTGAGTCAGCAAACACTCAGCACGCACTTTCGTCTGCGGTGCCGGGCCCAACTGACACTCCTGCAGGAAATAACACAAACGAAGCGAGTGTCACATAGTGAACACAACACATGGGCTCTGGAGCCAGGCTCTCGGCATGGAGGGTCAGTTTATCACCGAGAAGCTGGGGGAGCTGGACAAGTGACTGAACCTCTCTGTGGTTTGACCATCTCCTATGTCAGATAGGGTCGTGATGGGCTTCTTGTCAGGATTACATGAACAAATGCTCATCAAGCACATGGAGCAGTGCCTGGTGCGGGGCGGAGCACATCTCCCCAGGTGTGTGGAGAGCTGGTGCAGTTCCCACCACCCCACGGGGGCCTGTCTCTTACTGATAGACTCAGTGAATATTCATTCAGATTATACCAGTTTGGGTTAAAAAGTTGTTGTTATATAAAATGTTGTGTGCTTTAAAATCGATACCAACTCATTGTTATGGTCAGGTGTCACTGAGCGGGTTCCGGCTTGGCGCAACCTAGGTACAGCGCAAGGACACATTGCCTGGTCCTGCTCCATCCTGACCATCGCTCTTGTTGAGCTACGTGGCAGCAAGGGTGTCAATGCATCCATAGTGTTCATTTTTCTTCCTCTTTCCACTGACCCTCCACTTGACCAGGCACGATGTCTTTTTCAGGGATTGATCCCTCCTGATATCATGTGTGAAAAATATGACATAAAGTCTCACCATCCTCCCTTCAAGGAGCGTTCTGAGTGTACTTCTTCCAAGACAGATTTGTTCGTTCTTTTTGTAGTCCATGGTCATTTCAACATTCTTCGTCAACACTGTAATTTAAATGCATCACTTCTTTGATGGTCTTCCTTAGCCGTTGTCCAGTCTTCACATACATCTGAGATAGTTGAAAACACCATGACTTTGGTCAGGCTGTGTGTCTGAGATTGAGCTGATAATTATAAGGTCAGCAGTTCAAACCCACCAGCTCCGC